GAAGCATGCGAGGCAAATTGTGACTTCTTTTTGTTATTCATGTTTTCTCTTTTGATATGAGTGTTGCACTTCGGTTGGGTGCTACAGTGTAAATCCACATCCACTTTAGAGATTTCTTAAATTGTTTTAATTATAATTTATAGTGCTTGTTGTATAGCTACCTATAATTAGCTTTTCTCTGCTTTACAAGTATACTTTAGTTCCACATGCTCCAAATAATCATCAATAACAACTGGAACCGCCACCGTTCCGTAACTGACTGTGGCGTCAAGACACGCAATCTTTAATAATTTATTGAAGGAAAAACAAAGAATTCGTATACGATGTGGACAAATGTCAAGTTGCCAAGCGGTGGGTCAAGGCAACGCCCTACCGAAATGCTGATCAAAGTTTTTGAAAATTTCAAAAGGACACGAATTATTTAAATCAGTAGCTGAGTTGAGCTGTAGCGCTGCGGTCATTCGTGAAAAAGTAAAAGAAATAGTTAGCTAAATATCATCATGGCCGAGGAACTAATGCTAAGTTCGTCTTCAAAGCACAAGTCTAAAACGCTGTGCTTTTACGGCGCCTGGGCCTGGATCGTAGACATTTTTCTCACCGTTTTCCTCATCGTTTTCATACTCTACATTCTGCGCAAAATCATACAAGGTCCATTCTACCGTAAGCGTAATCGCATCGATGAAAAAGTCGTCATTATCACCGGCTGCAGCGCGGGCATTGGCAAGGAGATCGCCCTGGAGTTGGCGCGGCGCGGTGCACGCATTTACATGGCTTGCCGCGATGCTGCGCGCTGTGAGGCCACGCGCCTCGAGATCATAGATGACACGGGCAACCAGCAAGTCTACAACCGCACACTCGACCTCGGTTCGCTGGAGTCCGTGCGTCAATTCGCTGCACGTTTTGTTGCGGAGGAGCAGCGCCTGGATATTTTGGTAAATAATGCCGATGTTATGACTACTCAACGTACCCTAACAGCCGACGGGTTTGAGTACCAATTCGGTGTAAACCATTTGGGGCATTTTCTACTAACCAATCTACTGCTGGAGCGGCTGAAGGTAGCCGCACCGAGCCGCGTAGTCGTAATGAGCTCCTTCATGCATCTCTTTGGGCGTATAAACAAGGACGATCTGAACAGTGAGCTGCGCAAAACGAAAATTTTCGGCTCTTACGCTAACAGTAAATTGGCGAATATACTCTTTGCGCGCAAGCTGGCTAAATTGCTGGATGGTACGAGCGTAACGGTAAATAGCTGTAACCCTGGAATCGTGCGTACCGAGGCGATGTTTCGCAAGCAAAATCCGCCGTGGCTGTGGTTCATTGTCGACAAACTTTTCGGGCTGGTGGCTCGTACTCCGCTAGCAGGTGCACAGACTGCGCTGCGCCTGGCATTGGATCCCGACTTGGAACGATCGACAGGGGGCTACTACTCTTACTACATACGCTGGCCGCTGCCACCGTGGGCCACGAACAAAAAGATGACCGATTGGCTGTGGCGCGAAAGTGAGAAACTGGTCGGAATAAGCAGTGGCGAACGAATTCAAACGATCGATGTGTAATGAATAGTGTATTGCGGATGGAAAGGGCAGAGTAGCGAAACAATTTTCTTAATATAGTTAAAATTTGCATTAAATTAATTTATCTGATTCCGCAGTATAACTGTTTTGTTTATCATTCGTCGTAATAGCTCTTCCGTTGAATGCTCACTGTAGCGTACCTCGTAGCCCAAATTTAAGTGCTAATTACACACACGCCGCGAGAAACATGACAAAAGTAAACTTCTGCTGTGCTGTAATTTAGACACGCTGCTTTGTGAGTGTATCACAATGTAAAATCTGCAGCTCTGAGTGGCTTTCAAAGTCGCACAATGCACAGAAAAACTGGTATTTCATGCACCTGTCTTTGTTTGTATCTCATTCCATCTCAATACGACTGCGGAATTAGTGTTTGCCGGTCGATGGAAGTCGTAGGCAGTGTATTAGCCTGTGGATTATTTAAAGAAAGCCACGAAATTACTACGTAGTGGAGCGAAATTCGAAAGTAACCATTAAATTTCGAACTCACTCGCGCAGAGTGGTGCAGTGACGACTATGAAAATCGGTCGTTGGCAGTTAGTTTGCCGCAGTGGTGCCTAAAAGAAAGTTGCTTTGTGAGTATACAGCGCAGGGGCGCAATATCTCACTCAAGCATTTACTAGTAGATACTTTTCCATACACACAGACAGACACCCACAGTGTACGAATATGTTCGATGACGTTCTGAGTCCTCTGGAAGACGAGGAAAAATCATTGTGCTTCCGCGGTCCCTGGGCCTGGCTAGTGCTCATCACCGTCTGTTGTATCGGCATCGCTTTGGTCATGTGGCTACTGCGCAAATGCGTGCAAGGCCCCTTCTATCGCAAGAAGACTCGCATCGATGGTAAAGTGGTAATCGTGACGGGCTGCAACACGGGCATTGGCAAGGAGACCGCCATGGAGCTGGCGCGACGTGGTGGCCGCATTTACATGGCCTGCCGCGATGCAGCGCGTTGTGAGTCAGCGCGCATGGAGATCATTGAACGCACGCACAATCAAAATGTCTTCAATCGCACGCTCGACTTGGCCTCATTGTCGTCGGTGCGACAGTTTGCCGAGCGTTTCTTGGCAGAGGAACAGCGTTTGGATATTCTGATAAACAACGCTGGCATCATGGCCACACCGCGCAAGCTCACCGTCGACGGCTTCGAACAGCAGTTGGGTGTCAACCATTTGGGGCACTTTTTGTTGACAAACCTGTTGTTAGAACGCCTAAAGTCGACTGCGCCCAGTCGCATTGTGGTAGTGACTTCGGCGGCATACATCTTCGGGCGCATCAACAAGGAGGACTTGAACAGTGAGAAGCACTATTCGAAATTCTTGGGCGCCTATTGCCAAAGCAAGCTGGCTAACATCTTATTCACGCGCAAACTGGCCGAGTTGCTTAAGAATACCGGCGTGACCGCCAATTGCGTGCACCCAGGAATTGTGCATACTGAATTAGGCCGTTACAGTGTGGCGGAGTATTGGTACAAATCGATTTGGCTCCGCATGTTCAGTTGCTTTGTAAAGACGCCGCAGGCAGGGGCGCAGACCACGTTGCGAGTGGCATTGGATCCGGCGCTGGAGAAGTGCTCTGGCGACTATTATGCGGACTCGATGCGACTTCCCTTGCTGCCGAGGGCCAAGGACAAGGAAATGGCCGAATGGTTGTGGAAGGAGAGTGAAAAGCTGGTGGGCTTGCAAGGTGGAAACGCGGTGCAAACAATTGTCGTGAATCAATGAAGTAGGTACTAAAGCAAAGGAATGGTCGAAAGCGAGAAAAAGAGAGAGAGGGAAGTAAGGCGAGCTACAGGAAAGGAGATTATACGTAGTAACGATGTGTCGGTATATTTTCCGGTTATTTTTAGGTAAATTTTAAGTTCCTGTATACATATGTATACATATTAGAGGGCTGCATGAATTCATTCAAAAGGGCTTATGAATTATTCATATACAAAACGAATTAATGATTTTGGCTTAAAATTTTTTTGAAATTGAGTGAATACCTGTTCGGATATATGTGTCGACATTACAATATTCAAACAAAGTGAAAATAGATTGAATTGAAACAAATGACAATTTTTTGCATGAATATCCAAAAATATTTTTTCTATGCACATATGTTAAAATTTATATATGTATGTGTGTATGTATTGCTCGCACCTTTTAAAATACGAACAAACTTGTTTGCAGAAAAAAACTTTTACCGAAATGAGTTTGAATAATTTGAATGTTTTTCATTCATTCATTCACATTCTTCCATTTGAAGGTAGAAAATTTAAAACAAAATGTTTATTCATGACTTGCAAAATTACAAACGCTGAGTGTTTTGTATGTGAATTGAAATACTCAAATTTACTGTACTCTGTTTGGCTAGAAGTTTGAATGAATTCATGCAGCCCTCTAATACATATGTATGTATGTAAATATGTACGTATAAGTAAAGAATAAATAAATAAAAAGTGTATCCCGAAAAAGCGTTTCTTTCTTTTTCTATATTTCATCTATTATTTAAGCTATCTGGAAATTTTGGAATAAACTCGTAAAATTTACGCCTTTTTCTCTGTGAAAGGCATTTGAAATTTTTCGCTTTGAAGCTTTCCGCTTATCTATCATTTTTCTAAGTCATCGTTTCGACATTGAACTCATTTCGCAATTTGCTGCTTATCAGCGAGTCGCAAGCGCCATGCCCATCTGTAGGGTGCAATCTTTTGAGAACTGGCCAAGTTTGGTTCCAGCAGCGGTAATTGCAATGTTTGTATTCAACGCTGACCGCAGTAGTGCTCGTATTTGCTGTTCATAGCCGTGCAATCCACACTTGAACATTGTTCGAATGCGGCTTGGAAGTTCATGGAGAACCGGTTGCCAGTTGCGGACTTACGATGGCATTGACGATAAATTGCAAGTAGGTATGCGAGATGCCAACACTAACACACTTGACATGACAGGAATACTAAATAGACGTGTCGGAGGCTATTTTGCAAGTAAAAACGCATAAAACGACTATTAAAACTTGGCCAGACTCACTCACGTTTACAGCTTTAAACCGGCTTAGGCATTGGATGGAGTACTTTATGAGATTTTTATGTCTTCCAAGTTGAATTTTTTTCAGACACAGAGGGGAAACAGCATTGCTGTGCGAGCTTATTCCCGAAAACAAAAAACTCGCTTAGTTTGCTTTTGAGCGCTTTTACCTGGAACTAGTAACTACAAACCAGTTTGGAAACGTGTGCCTTCTGCGCTGCGCTGCGCTGCTTTTGACGCTACACTTAGCCGCCACTGCAGCGGAAGCCAACTATAATTTAAAAAAGAAATGCGCCAGAAAAATTTGGGCTAACGCTTGCCTTTAATACCTCTGTACTATGGCCTCTGTATATAGGGCTGCCGCCACTTTCACCACTGCCAAAAAAGCACCAGCACAATGTGAGTTTGCAGCGGCTGAACGCCGCGCGGAGATCATGTTGACTTGCCAGGTTAGCGATTATCAGCGAACGAGGAAAGCGCGCTTCGGCGCCAGTTGGAATGGATTGTAAGTTGGAAGTCAGTTGAAGCTTGCCACTGACAGCGCAAAGTACGCGTGTTGATTAAACAAAGTTATTTTATTGTAGTGCGCACTTAGAAAACTTAAAAAGTACACAGTAGTATGCCAGATAGCGAAGAGGAGAAACTGTGTTTCCATGGCGTCTGGGTTTGGCTGCTGCCAGCCATTTTCATTGCCGTCGCCGTGTTGTTTTTCTTGTGGCTGCTGCGCAAGTGCATACAGGGTCCGCGTTATCGCAAGGCGAATCGCATCGATGGCAAGGTAGTCATTGTGACGGGCTGCAATACAGGCATCGGCAAGGCAACTGCTCTGGAGCTGGCGCGGCGAGGCGGTCGCATTTACATGGCCTGCCGCGATGCGGTGCGCTGTGAGGCCGCGCGTCTGGAGATCGTAGAGCGCACGGGAAATCAGCATGTCTACAATCGCACACTGGATCTGGCATCGCTGGATTCGGTGCGTCAATTCGCCGCGCGATTTCTCGCCGAGGAGCAGCGCTTGGACATTTTGGTGAATAACGCTGGCATCATGGCCACGCCGCGCAAGCTCACCGCTGACGGCTACGAACAACAGTTGGGTGTCAACCATCTGGGCCACTTTTTGCTGACAAACCTGCTGCTGGAGCGCTTGAAAGCCTGCGCGCCCAGCCGCATTGTGGTTGTGAGCTCAGCCATGTACATCTTTGGGCGTATCAAACGCAATGACCTGAATAGCGAGCGCAGCTATTCGAGCTTCTTTGGCGCCTATTCACAAAGCAAGCTGGCGAATGTGTTGTTTACGCGCAAGTTGGCTGAGCTGCTGGAAGGCACTGGCGTTACGGTGAATTGTTGTCATCCAGGTGTGGTGCGCACTGAGTTGGTGCGGCACATTAAGTTCCCAGGCTTTGGGTTGTTGCACTATTTGGTGAAGTTCTTGTGGAAGTCGCCGGAGGAAGGCGCACAGACGCAGCTGCGCTTGGCGCTCGATCCGGCGTTGGAGAACTCCACAGGCGGCTATTACAGCGACTCGATGCGTTTTCCGCTGCTGCCGTGGGCGAAGTGTAGCGCAACAGCGGACTGGCTGTGGGAGGAGAGCGAAAAACTGGTGGGACTGAAGGTGGGAGGAAAAAGTAATGAAATGGAATCGGTGACGGTGGCGGTTGCGGTGAATGGCGTGCAGCCTTAATGAGCTTTGGATTTTTTTACTATTTAGAAAGATTGGTGAATCAAAATAAATGCTTTACAAATATTTTCTATAAAAAAGGGAATTGATTGTGAAAAATGTAGCGAGAGGAATGACAGCTGCTGCTCTCTACGCGATACATTTCAATATCTTCTCTTCTTCTCTTGAGTCTGCTTTCATTTTGCTGATTTCGCACAAAAACAGAAAAAAAACTGCGCGGCGTTGGAGCGCACACGCCCCCGCAGCGCGAGCAACAATGGGGCCTAGAGAGCGCACTTTCTACAAATCGGATTTTGCGCTCTGTCTTTCAATCGTCTTGCGGCCAGCGCTTTTTGTTATTCATCAAACCAAAAATTTTGTGTACAAATAGCTTTTATAAATAAATTATCAACTTTACATATGTATGTATGTATGTACTCATGCGCATTTGTGTGTGTGTGTCACACATTGTTTATATACTAATTGTTTACATTTGTATGCGTCAACAATTTATACATATTCTAGTTTCTATTTATACAACGAAAAACATGTGCGCGTGTGTTTGTATGCGAACAAAAAGTTTTCACACAAATAAATTCGAAATTTGTATTATATGCAAATTCTTCTACTGAGTCACAACCTTAGCTGAATTAATTCATTTCCGGCAATAGAACTCTCTGCTATACGGAGGCAAAATAAATTTTCTATTTAATCAAAATAGTGTTGCCACAATTTTTCATGCAGCCTATCAGCCAGCTCAGCTCTGTGGCCCATTTCGCTTGCAGCAACCGCTTAAGCAGCTCAATTAGCCATCATCGACGAGTGGCAGCGAATAAATCTAGCCGCTTGCGTTGCATACTCGGCCTACAGCGCGGCCATTCATTATTCATGAGCTTGGATGTGCTACGCCAGTTTGCGCGGATGACTAGCCGACTATTTATTTAAATTATGTCCACTGAGCTGTCTGTAATCGACCCAATCGTGGCACTCAATGCCACCCACGACGTGAGGTCTTTATCGGCGAACATGTTGACAAGTGGACGGACGGTGGGGCGGGTTGGAGTCCGTTGCAGAAATTATGCAGTGCATTAATGGATTATTTGCAGCTGTTGTTGTTTTGATATAAAACGGCAATTGAGAAGCAGCTGATATATGGCAACTGCCGACTGTTTATACAACTGAAATGGGCCAGAGCTGATAGGAAAGGTGGAGAGACATATCGTACCGTTGCTGCAAGAGTGTTTGTTAAGTATGAGGAAATGACCAAGTAAAAATTGCATAGCTGTTTTTCTCTGGTTTTTGATTTTTGGATTGTGACACTCTTACAGCAAAGGAACGGTAAGTACATACAAACACATGCTTTGAAGAGATTTCTACATTAACTTTAACAGAATGGTAAAAACCTTGGGACGTTCAAGCCTGAAAATAGTCCATGTATATAAAAAATAGAGCAAAAAATAATATTTGTGTTTAGTTTTCACCCTGTTACTAAAACTATCTTTTATTCAGCCATCATTTTTTACTGACGAATTAAGAAGTTTCTTTTCTCTCTTTTTGAAAAGAGGCCGGCTGAGTTCGAGTGCTTTTGAGATCATTCTAGAACTTGCTAAATGAGATGCTTGCAAAGTGAACTACTTAATTTTTCTTGCTCTTCTACATGCATTCCATTCATTCTTTGTAAGCTATATACGTAGATATGTATGTATGTACGTACGTGACCTCTGAAGGCAAGGTAAATGGAGCGCAGGTAGATTTTTGCATTGACTTTCTTACACTCACCGTGATCGCTCAGCTCTGCAGACGGGTTGGTCTATTAACTTTTGCATTTAGAGCAGGCAATGCCTTTAAGATTACGCGACCGCTGTGGTTGAGTGGTTAGAGGTGCGTATTACCACCACTCCACAGAGCCTGGGTTCGACCATGCCCTTCGGCAGCCGATGGCAAACCTCCGAGTGTATTTTTGCCATGAAAAAAACGGAGGCGGCTGCGTAAAACTGTAGGTCCGTCTATTTGTGTAAAGAAATCAGCGCCCTTTGAGGTGCTATATTATATTAAAACCCTTACTATATAGGGCGCACTTATTTGGAGGTTTTGCTGGACGGATTTTGAAACCAAGCGAACGATGGTAAATTAATTTTTCTGTAGATAACGAGAGCTTATACATACATATGGTTTCAAAATACGAACATGATTACAATTATGAAAATGGATATGAAGAGCCCAACTAAAGGCGAACACAAATACGACCACAAGTACGAAAACATTTGCAGAGCCGAATTCGAAGATAAATACGAACGCGAGACGATCACGAATATGAACACGAAACCCGAGTATGAAGACAAAGACGAATATGAAGACGAATACTAAAACCAAGGTTAAGGTTAATATTAAGCTTAAGATAAATTTCTGCAATATGAGGCGAACTAGAAATAAATCGACGGAAATTTCACATTAGTAGTGTAGCCCAGGCGCACAGGTGGCAGAATGTCCAAGTTTCGAAATAGCCAATCCAGTGGTTGTCCAGACTCTAGACGTTCCTGTTAACATGATCTAAGGCTTTTTGCGAGGAAAAACGGCACTAGTAGATAGTATTCAAAACAGGGACGTGAACAGGATGAACGATTTGGTTGGTTGTGTTCAGCGGTTCGAACCGTTTTTAGATTGGTTTTTTTTTTGGTCTTTGAGCCGGGGTTTCGGTCGGTTCAACGGTTCGGATATCCAAAAAACAAAAAAAAAAAATAAAAAATTAACCCACAAGTTCAAGTGTAAAGTGGTAGTGCAACAACGCGCAAGGTTAAGTGACAAGTGTCTGTCAAATGAGATAGGTTGCCTATACATTTGATATTGCCACATGATAAGCAAATATGGTATGTATTACCATATTTAACAAAAAGAAAAAAGCGGGTAAACTTATCCATTGAAAATTGGTTGGAACGAACCTTTAAACCTTTATGAAAAATGGTTCGGTTTTCGGTTTGGATCAAATATTTGTGGAAAATTTCGGTTCGGTTAATGGTTCAGATAATTAATAGAAAAAAGCGGTTTTCTGGTTCAAAACCGGTTCACGTCCCTGATTCAAAAATCACTTTACATTGAATTGTTTCAAGAAACCATCGATAGTGGCTAAAGCATTGGCCCCATCGATTATATCGATGGTCCCATTGATGGTTTTGCAGCACTAGTATGCAGCGCCTGGGTTCAAGGTTTTTGCTTAACAGCGGTCGCCCCTCGGCATGAAATGGCAAACCTCTTAGTGTATTTCTCAGTGATGTACTAAATTGTCGGTACCCAATACTCCTTACCCAATAATTCAAAAAGATTTCGGTACCCAATACCGATTCCTTATATTAAACCTCACCGTTATATAAATTTCAAGTTTAAAAAAAAATTATTTCAATAATATTTTATATAATATCGCTTAAAACACATGAACTTATCGCAAAGTAAAATATTAGTTTATCAGTTTTTATCTCAGTATGTCGAAGGTTCAAGAAAACAGCTTTGACAGATGAAGTAGCCTTTCAGGCCTTCAAAGATAATATCGTCCGATTCATCTAGAACAAAAAAGCCTCTGCATTATGGCGACGGACCGACATACATATGTACATATGTATATACAGTTTTCATTTGAATCAGTATTAAAAGCTCTCTTGGCCCCTACATTCGGCTTTTAATAAGCGAGTCTTCCCTGAACCAGTTTTTTCCATATTTTTGGCCGATGTGCGTTTTTATAGATACCTAAATATTTCGGTACCGATTATCGAAAGTATTGGATACTTTTTAAATCGATACCGAGTATCGATCAATACTTAAAAGTATCGACTCAGCACATCACTAGTATTTCGGCCATGAAAAACAGCTTCTCATTAAAATACAATCGTCGTTCGGAGTCGGCGTAAAACTGTAGGTCCCTCCTCTTTGTCTGACAACATCAAGGCGCACGCCACAAATCGGAGGAGAAGCTCGGCCAAACACTAACATATGTGTTAGCGCCAATCTATTATTATTATTATGTATGTATGTTTGTATTTGTTTAAGTAGATAAATAAAAATAGCAATTAAAAATTCCATAAACAAATACCTTATCTATTTTAATGTATGTATTTATAGCTATTTTTAGTCGCGTCTAACTGCATTCAATCTTTATAATTTACTTGCATCAATAAAATTAAAAAAATAATCTGTCTTAATTACACGAATCTGCATTAAGTTTATAATTTCATTTGCATAATTGAGTTGTGAAATGTAAGCGACGACAAAAGGCAGGCATGAAATGCTATAGTTCTGTTTAGATATGAACATATGTACATATGTACATGTATGCACTCATATACATACTACATATCTACGTGTATATATACATATGTATGTACGTTTATGTATATAGAACGCGATTTTATTAATTTTACCTTGGTTTAATTCATTTGTACTTTGTCTCGCGTTGAACGTTTGCCCATTTGTTCACTGGGCGAGCTCACCCAACGAACCGTAGACGTATTCTACAAATTCTTTAAAATATACACATACACAAGTGCATATGCATATGCTATATACAAACATACAAACATACAGATGTTCATACAAATCAACAAGTACGCGCGCATAGTGCAAAAAATTGTGTACATATCCACAAACAGTGACACCATCTGTGTTTAGAGTCAGTTATGCGCGCCTGCAATTTAATAAACTACAAAACCATACTGTATTAACCCATTCGAAGGCAGTGTGTCGCATGAAGCATGCCTTTTCTTGCCAGTGCCAGTGCGGTGCAGAAATTCTTGCAAATTAATTATTTTCATATGTAATGCAGTTGCGACTGTCACTGGTCTTACGATCGAGGCTCTAGAAAATTCGATGCTTTTCAATCCTCAGCTAAGTTGGGCGCGAAAAATACTTTTTTTCTGCATACAAGCGCACACACGCTTCCGCCTTCAGATGTTGCAACCCTTGGTTGGCGTGTCGCCAGAAGTGAGAACTCCAAAATTTTCCACAGCTCTTCGATCAAACAGCCAGTGGCATTTTTAAGGGTAGTTTTCTTGCGTTAGATGTTCTTTCGATGTTTTTTTTCTTGCTGGGTTGCCGTGGCAACAAAGGGGTTAATACACTCAGCGCACTAAATGCACATTAACCGAGTGGAAATTTCCATTGCTTAT